AGACAGATTACATGTCAGCGTAATTATAGAGCAATCACAGATGGGAATGGGTTAGATATGGCAGGGATACGCTTACACCAATGCATGTTACAAGTGTCTTTGTATTTTCCCATGACCTTGTTAGTGACAGCCTGTACTATTAATATGAACTAAATTACATTAAGGCCGATGGCTGCTGTAATCAGTGGATGCTCATGGCAAATTACATTGAGCCGAATACAGTTTATGGAAGTCGCAGATACTCTCTTGGAAACCTTCTTTAAGATCTCAGAAACATATACATTAATTTAGTAGAGTTCCCTTGAGAGGTGCCTTCTCTCGATCTGTGCTGAATATTTATGTGATACAGGCTGCATAAAGTACACTACCTTTCAAAAGTTTGGGGTCAATAAGTTTTTTTTATTAATACTTTTATTCAGCAAGAATGCATTAAAATAGTTTAAAATTGACAGTAAAGACATTTGTTTATGCAGAATTTCTGTTTTAAATAAGTGCTCTTCTTTCGGTTTCTAAAAAGAACCCAGAAAAAAATGTGTTTCCACAAAAATGCTAAGCAGCACAAGTGTTTTCAAAATTGATAATAATAATAATAATAATACAATTATTGAGCAGCGAATGATGCTGAAAATTCAGGTTTGCATCACAGGAATAAATTACATTTTTAAATATATTAAAATAGAAAACAGTTATTTTAAATTGAAATAATTTTTCACAATTTTACTGTTTTTGCTGTATTTTTTATCAAATAAATGCAGCCTTGGTGAGCATAAAAGACTTCATTCAAAAACATTTTTCAAAGCAATAGTGTATGTGGATGGATGCTTAAGCCATATACATTTCAATGAATCTTGAAACAAAATATCAAACTTAAAAAAAAAACATCTCTATAATATCTTACTCATTTCATTTCAATATCTTACTCATAAGACAGCAATGGAATTAAATGGACAAATAAAATGGATGCTCCAGATTCAATGATCCTCCTCCTGAGAATTATTCTCATCTGAGGTTTCTCTTCAGTTTCACAAAATCTCAGTCTGGGCTCACAACAAGTGCAACATACTAAAGCCCACAATCAAAAGTCTTGAACATTTCTCATCCAGTTCATCCGAGAGCAAACAATCTGAGCTTCTATCCAAATTCATTTTATGGCTATATAAACATAACTGCACATCAGTATTTTGTTTATTTTTTATCTGTTTATGTCTCCCAAGGACTCTTAGCGGAAAAACCTGAAACAAAGTTTATACACACTTCAAAAAGAAGATAAAATGTACTTCGGTGGTTAAATGTTAGTGGAACATTAACGTAAGGAAATACACCTGCGTGAAACGGAGAAGAACTGACTTCATACATCCACTAAAATTCATGGGAGCAGCTAGTTAAAAGTAATTCCAAAAATGGCTCAGGAAAAGAATAGCTGCAGTTGTTCGACGATGTGAAACGTGTGCGTTAAGTGTCCAAATGCATTTTGACGCCAACTGATAACGTCAGGTCAAAAACATGCATTTTAGAGAGTATCAGACCTCAGTTTCCTGCAGTATCTTCAGGTAGTCAGGCAGAGTGATTTCTGGAGCTGCGATGAGCTCCACCTCTTCCTTTGCATCCTCAAGAAAGCCAAGAGGGATCTTAAAGGGCACCTCATCCAGACAGGACATTTCAACCCTATCTGAAACAGAAAAGGCAAATAAAGAAATGTCTGACACCAAACCATCCTAATCTATGCCCCAGATCGCACATGGGTTTTAAATGTACACCATCAGTCAAAAGTTTGGAATGTTAGAATGATTTCTGAAGATCATGTGACACTGAAGACTGGAGAAATGATGCTGAAAATTTAGCTTTGCCATCACGGGAATAAATTACATTTTTAAATATATTCAAATAGAAAACAGCTATATTAAATTGTAATAATGTTTCACAATATTACTGGTTTTACTGTTGTTGTTGTTTTTGTTTTTTATCAAATAAATGCAGCATTTGTGAGCATAAGAACATGAAAAAAATCTTTATTATTCCAAACTTTTGACAGGTAGTGTAATAATGCATGACAAAAACCACAGTCCCATGTTTTCCCCCTGTTCTTGCTTCTCAGAAAACACGTGTTCTGAACATCTCTATATTTGTTTACCTGTTACACAATAGTAAGGAGACTAGAGGATTAGGGATTAAAGATTACTAAAACTCGACCACCTGACGGTCTCAACGTCACCGCCGTGTACCGTGACACATGCTTCATCAAATGTACACCTGTCAGAAACCGTACTGGGAGAGAGGGTGCATTTTTCTCAAGAGTTAGTGTTTGTATGAAAGTAGGTATAGAAATTCTCTTCAGAAAACTTGGCCCAGTAGTAATGAAAAAAGCTGCGTCCTGCACCAGACGGTAGTGCTGGGCGGTATACCGGTTCATACCGAATACCGGTTTAAAAGGGGTCGTGTTTAGTCACTATTTAGTGTGGTATTTTTTGACAATATTCACTCATCATGACAGTAAAATAGGGCTTTCTAAGTCAATATACTGCAGTATTTCCTCTCTCAATCAGTAGAAAATATGGTTAACACCCGGTCATGCATGAAAAAAAAAATACTGTCATGTACCGTGAAACCGGTATAATTTTGGAAAATACCGTGATATCAACTTTTGGTCATACCGCCCAGCACTAGCAGACGGCCTGCTGATGCTCTTCATTTTGGACAGATGCTCAGATCTGATGCTGCTCCGCACCTTTCTCACCAGATGGTTTTAGATTTTCAATCTGAGCCGAGTCTTAACAGCCAGATGCTCAGTATAAGCTCTTAAGGTGCTTTCCTTCTTGTGCAAGAAAGAACAATGGAACGTTCAATAAGTTACGGTATTCTTCATAAATCATCGGCAGAAGATACTGGAAGCGAATGAGTAATCTATAACAATGCCTCACTTGAGAAAAAAAATGGTGTAGGATTTACTTATTTCCACTCAGAAATTGCAAAAAGTGGTAACACGCTGAATTAAACATGAAATTATGAAATAGAAAGACTAAAATAGTATTTTCTTGTAAAACACAATCCAATAATCTTTATTTGCAACTTTTCAAAATATCTACAACTAAATATCGGGTCTAGTAATGCTGTGCTGGTAATAGAGAAAAGAGCTTTTAGTCCAAAACCTACTGAAATAAACACTGGAGTATATCTAAACTAATAAGATGCTGGTAACACTTTACAATAAGGTTCCATTTGTTAACATTAGTTAACTACATCAGTTAAAATGAACTAACAATGAAAAATGATTCTAAAGCACAGCATAGCAAATCTTAATGTTGTTAATTTACTAATACCTTAATAAAATCAGAAGTTGTATCTGTTAATATTATTTAATGAACCAAAGTTACCATGAACTAACAATGAACCGTTGTCATTTTTTAGTAATTAACATTAAGAAGAATAAATACTGTAACAAATGTATTATTGTACGTTGATGTTAGTTATATCATTAACATTAACTAATAGCACCTTATTTGTAAAGTGTTACCAACATAGTTTTAGATTTGACATAACAGAAAATTAAATGGATAAAAATAATGAATGTAAAAATATATATTTAAATATTAAGTTTTTTTCAGAAATAGTTAAGTCTCAGAAATCTCTTAAAATTTTGGATTTTTTAAAAACATATTGCAATACTGTAATGGCATACTGTATTTACTGTACACCTTTTATAATAAAATGAAGATGTTTAATGTAATATCAGCATTAAAAAAGTTGTATATTATATTTGAAATGTTAAATATTTCCATATTATACTTAAATACTATAAAACATTTAGAAATATATCAAATTCTACATTACATTTATATTACATAGACTGAAATCAAACAGCCTTCATTTAAACTGATGACATTAATGAAAATAATGACTTAATGCACCAAATGCATTTAAATATTATTAAAAAGAACGAAGAATTTCAAATGAATTTAACAAAACGTAGTTAAAAAAAAAAATTCCCAAGTTTATCAAACAAAAAAGTCTTTAAATGTAAATAATTAATTTAAAGTAGCCATCAGCCGTTTCACACACACTCTACTCAACACTAGAAGTTAACAGTGAGTGTTAATAAATGTTTACTCACCTCCTGGGTCTCCTGAGTGTGGCTGCTCTCAGTGGTGTGATGTGGACAGTGTTACCATCACTCTTCAGAGCCGCGTGTTGATTTCTCTGCTCCAATAATCCACTGACACAACACACACTGACATTGGCTGTTTACCTGAGCCGCAGCACACACCTACAGGAAGTCAACCTGAAGCATCCACATTCAGAAAACCATCACAGGAACGCTTTATTTTCTTTGACAAGTAAAGAATTATTTTGTCATGTGAAATATTACACACAGATAATGTATCTGTACATATCTAGACGTGCTATTATTTGTAAAGAAAACAATCAACCTGATTGTCTCAAGCAGTCCACAGGAAAACAGTGTGACGTAATCAGTCTTTTGGCTTTTTCACAGAAGTCAACATGTGACATGTTCTGAAGGAATACTAATAGACTGATCTTCCTTCAGATGAATAGGTGAATCTCCGTCAAATCCAAGTCTATTATTTACATCAAAGCATTATTATTTTTTTATGAAAATTAAGAAAAAACCCTATTCTTATTACCATAATGTAAAAAAAGTATGCATATATGTGTTTATATATATATATATATTTGAAATTATATATTTAACTTCGTAGCACTATTTTAATGAAAATTTAGTACAAACCATTTTATTTTCATTACTATAATGCAAAAAAGGATTTGTGCTAAATTTTCATGAAAATCATGTTACGTGTATATATATATATATATATATAAATATATATATATACACACACACACACACACATATACACACTATATGTGTGTGCGCACATATATATATACTTACACTATAATATAATAACATTTATACATCATAGTAGTATTTATTCTATTAATTTTAAGGTGATTTAAATAAAACTATTATTATTAAGTATTATATCCGCATTGCATCAACGACAACCTAATAACAATCACCACTGGGAATAATGACAATTTTTTTTTAAATCCAAGCACATTGTGGTAATAAGAATTTGTGTAAAATGCACTTAACAATCATAAAAATAATGTCACAATGTAAAAAAAAAAAATTTTAAATGGCCGGAAAAAAGCTTCTTTTCTTTATGCAAAGCATTTCTTTGATTTTAGGATGAAACGTTTTCGTGAGATTCACCCAATCTAGTATCATTTAATCTGGTCACACATTTTGCCAGCCAAACATTTTTTCCCCCACATGAATGAACAGTCCGTCGGGTCATAACTACGCATCATTTCTCCAGGGCTGTGGCCCAGATGTCGTCGGCTGGTTGGTCGGGCAGAACCCAGCCCTGAGGAACTGATGTACCGTCAGGGTGTTTGTCAGAAACCAGGAACTGATCCCACTCTCTTCTGTCAGGGGAGATTCACATTCTTTGAGTTATGTCACATTTACTCATATAGTTATTTTTAGAGTTTACTTCTGATTTGAAAATAGACCTTATTTGAATAAGAGCAGGAAGGGAGCGCTCTGCCTGTGTGTAGTAGTTATAGGACAAATGAAATATATTGCGGATATCTAAATATAGTACAATATTAAATAACATTAACAATTAAATTTATGTAATATATTATTTACTTATACAGCATTTAAATAATATGGTATATTAATATAGTATAATAATAAATGTATATATAGTATAATTAACTACAAAATCATAATAATAGTTTAATATTAATTAATGATAAGATGCATAATATTAGTATGGGACATGAAATATATGATGGTGATATCTAAATAATATGTGACCCTGGAGCACAAAACCAGTCTTAAGTCGCCGGTGTATATTTGTAGCAATAGCCAAAAATACATTGTATTGGTCAAAATT